TCCGACGCCTCTCCCTCTTCGACACATGTATGTCATATATGCAAGCGCGTCTACGAGCGGGCCGATCATCTGACGAGACATCTACGCTCTCATGAGAATGCTCGTCCCTACCAGTGCTCCCGCTGTCCCAAGCGATTCAATAGAGCCGACCTCCTCACCCGCCATGAGACAACCCACGACCGAGATAATACAGGCAAAGGTAGAACCTTCATCCGGAGGAGCGATCGGGCTGCCGAGGCGTGCCTGAATTGTGCCGCTTCCAAGTCAAAATGCGAGGTAAACCCGCTTCCCCTTTCCTTCGGGAAAAACTATAGTCCTGTCCAAAGTACCAGTAGGCTGATACACTTCCAGGATGCCAAGCCATGTTCTCGCTGTCGATCCAAGAATTTACCATGCGAAGTCCCCTCGAAGCGTACACATCCTCACCGGACGTCAATCGATGGCGCCTCCAGCCCTTCCGAGACATCAACACTGCATATGAGCGTCGACATGAACGGCAGCATGGACACAGGTTCCGTTTATACGGCCTCCAAACTGGTCATGATGCCACCAAACCCCGATATGAACCATGATCTGGACGCATCCTCCTACATGGACGATGGCTTTTCGAACCCTGTCATGGACATGGTCATGGACGATATTGTCAACTTCAATCCAGTACACACGTACTTCCAGGACATGGACTTTTCCTCATGGGACCTAAACTTTGACGCCATAACCATCCCACAACCTGAGGTCAACCAAACCCCTGAATCCACTACAACCAGCCGGTCAAAATCAAACACAAGAAATGCGTCAAAGGCACACGCGGCATTCAAACGGTCGCCTTGGCTGTGGGAGCCGGGGCCAAAGGATTACGCGCTGCATCATGCGTCACCGCAGGACAAGGAGCAGCTCATTCTTGACAACGGCACCTTTGCTAATTCTCCCGCTTTCGATAAGCTCATCAATACTCCGGGCACGAAGCTAAAGATGACTTCCCTCTCAAGAGACAGTCTTCTGGCCATGGTGGTAGCTAGCACAGTCTCGAAAGGCGGTCGCACACGTACACCATCTTTCCCTTCTTTGGATCTCCTGAATTACCTCGTGCAAGCCCATTTCATCCACGATGAGCACCAGAGCGACAGTTGGATTCATCTGGCGACGTTTGATGCTGCTGCTGCTATTCCAGAACTACTTGCCGGTATTCTGTCCAGCGGTGCTACGTATATTTCCATTCCTGCTGTGTGGCAGTTCGGATTCTCGCTACACGAAGTGCTCCGGCTTGGGCTGGCAGATTTGGTAAGTCGATAGCACCCTTGACCATCCGCCTTGCAACAAATTATCTTGTTAACATTGCCTAGTTCGAAAGCTCAAACTCATTCACGAGAGAACTGGCGGCTCTCCAAGCATTCATGCTCAACCTAGATATTGGCATCTGGAGTGGCTTCAAGCGGAAAATGGAGATTGCGGAGAGCTTCCTGCAGCCCCCGATGACCATGCTCAGACGTGCAGGGAACTTCTCGGCCCCACCAGACTCTTCGGCTATGATCCCGATGATGACAGACTCCCCCGAGGTCCTGGACTCGAAGTGGCGCAAATTTGCGAAGCGTGAATCCTACAAACGCCTTGTTTTGCATATGTTCTTTCACGATATCCAAACTTCCATTGGGTTCTGCAAAAACCCACTAATGTCTTACACCGAACTCAACTTCAGCCTTCCTGCTTCTCGAGATCTATGGAGGGCACGATCCGCTGAGCAATGGAGGAATGTGTATGTCGCCAAAACAAACGCAGCCCCAGACCGTATCATTCCACGTGTATCAGAAGTGATGCACTGCACTGAAATTCTGGACGAATTCGACCAACTGGTCGATACAGAATTGTGCTACATGGCCTTGCTACATGGCTACTGGGGTCAAATAGCGGCATATCGTGAAGCCATCAAGTTCTATGCCGATGGTCTCTCGAGTAAGAGGAATGCGACCCACCGCCTGTGGCTCAAAACACAGTATCAGGAGCTCTACCGAGATTTGAACGACTTTTCAACCATGATCCTCACATCAAAGCGGCCCACAGCTCAACTTGCAGTCATGTCAGAGCTTCTCATGATGCTCCTACACGTCTCTCCCGACATCTTGCAGACGTTTGCTGGCAAATCGGGAGAGGACGAGGCCCGTAGGACGTATACCAGCCTGGAAGACAGCTGGGTAAGGACGTCCGAGGCACGTTACGCGATATGGCATGCTGGCCAGATCTTTCACCATGCTCGCCAGCTTCCACCTGCGTCGCTGCGTGAATTTAACGCCATCGCCGTGTACTACGCATGTCTCACGCTATGGGCATATGGGTTGCTATCATGTTCGGCATCTAGACATGGTTCCGACCAAGAAATTGGTAACGGCATGAGCACTAGCAGGTCTACGTCGGGATACACGCTGATGGATTCGGACGAAAACCGGGACACCAGAGCTTTTCTCCAGCTTGACCGCGGAGTACCTGGCATCACCATCAACGGAAACCCTGCCGATGGCGTGGAATCGCTTTCAAATCCGAGCGTGGTTCTCTCTATCGCGCGAGATATCTTCCGGAACAACTTCCCCGTGGTTTCGGAGCCTTTACCGCCCTTGGTCGAGAGTCTACGGAGCCTGTTGCATGACCTTGGCTCGGGGGCAGCAGGGCGACCTTCGCGGGCTGGGAGCTCGGATTTGCCATAACTTTCTGCAATGTACTTTTCTCGACATTATTTGGCTTGGTATCTTTTCGAAATATTGGAAATTTTCTGGCAACACGGCGGTGTTGCTGTAGTAGCGAGTGACGCAAGTTTGACTCGAAAGGATGGTCAATGGCATGGGATGGTGTTTATGGAGCAGGCATAGCGGTAGCAGCCACATGTATTTCACTGATTGATCATAGTAACCTCATTGTATGTGACAAATGACCTGAGAAACATCTCATGTGTCTCTACAAGATGTATCTGACTTGATGGGCTCGCAAAGTGACATAAATACTTTTTCTACAGCAACGCGAGATGTTTCTTTCGCACAGGCTCACAGGTGATGGAGCGGTAGGCGTCTATGTGGCCCCGCATTCCACGGCCCCGGGGACGTCTCGGGGGCCGAGTGGGGGCACGTGCGTCGTTCCGGGCGGGTTGACGACACTTGGGTGGGCACCTCGATGGGCGGAGGAAGTAGGTTGGCTGAGTTTGGTGGCCTGAATGTGGGCGAGTCCTCGAGTATGATTCGACTTACTCCGTGGCAAATATTTCATCGTTTGGCTCGCGGGGTAACTTGGCTTATTGTACGTATCAGCTGGCTTCCGGCCGTAATTCAAAGAGAGTGTCGTTGCGAGATATACTACGACGTGGATTGGCGTGAACATATTGACGGATTCGGGAGAATTGTTGATTGAATCAACGGCGGCGTTTTCAACTTGTAAAGTGACCTTTCGGCCAGGTAATTTTGTCTCGAACCACGATGCTGGAAGATATTGCTGTCTTGCTTGGAGGACTTCGTAATCTGCAAGCCCAATCAAGAAATCTGCAGTGTTCGGCAGTGAACATTATTGCAAATAAAACTCACTACATCTTCTCTTCTGGTACAGAAAAGGCTAAGTATCCGTGAAAATTGAAGACAGACGAGCGTTGAGTTTCGTGAATAGCTACATGCCGGAGAAATGGGTGGAAGTTTGACATGACACCGCCAATGTGGGTGAGTACCTAGTTACAACGTAGTCCTGGTTCCGTAAATAATACATGATGAGGAACAACTTATCATGATCATGGATTGAACAGCCTCTATAGTCTCGAAGTTGGCGCTCCCATGTCTAACGCGGGAGGCATTTGTCACAGCATCCCACGCCGAGGGTAGCCCATACTTGATTTACTCGGGACAAGTTTTATGAATTTCATATTCCAGTCCTAGAGACCCCAAGAATCTTGAGGCTATGGTAACTAGCAGGATACGTGATACCAACACTCTAGATCCGGCTCTTTGGCTTCTCGCCACAGTATCTTCATCCCCGAAAATCGAACCTGAGACCCAGACTGCGCAATTCATCTCGCACAGAAGAAGGAAATCCGCAAAGAATGTATGTCAGATGAACTCTGTGAGGAAACTGCACAGAAGTTCCGGTATGGAAGTGTACTTGACTAAAGAATATCTCGTAGGCTTGACTGTGATGCTTTATGGAGATGGGATAAATACATCAAAGCTCAGCACTGCCTTTCGAACCCCCATTGCTCTCCGGCTTAACATCAGCATACCATACTTCGCTTCACAAAAACCGCTTGAGACGCAACCTCGTCGTTTCTCTGCATCCTATCATGCCTCCACGCCAGGATGTTCATGCCTCCCAAGTCCTCAGTTGAGTCTGCACTCTCCACCATCGGCCACTGAGAATGGGACACACAAGGGGACCTTACACAATGCGCGTCTTGCTGTAGAAACAAGCAATCTACCGCCCTGAGACCTATACAGCGAAGAGAAATGCCTCCATTTCCCGTCATAAGCCGAGCAGGTCATGGTCACACAGTCCGGAACAGCCTGGAAAATCTGGCTCTTGTAAGCCAGAGTTTGGTAGGATAATCATGACTCTCTACGGTTGCGCCCGCTCCTAATGGTGTGTGCCGAAGATGGATCTGAGTAGAGGTATCTGCCCAAAACGAGGGGCTTGCCGGACTAGCACTCTTTAGATGCGGATGTTTCCCATGTATTGGTGATACGGACAATTTACAGCGACCTGGAATTCGAGTTGTCGCCCCGAGCTTTGCCTCGTCAAGTATGCATGCATGGCTAGCACTCCGTGTCATCCTGGCGCATCATACAATTGACGAAGGTCTCCTCGCTGTCATGCCTCTTTGTGCCAGTGATTCATGACAGGTAGGTCATCTACAGATAGGCTGCGGATGATATCACGATACAGATAACCCAATCGAGGGCCGCAAATTGGATGTCAGCCAGGCCAATACCTCTGATCCGGTGCTATGTTGTCTCTCAGCATATGGCTGAATCATTCGGCCCGTGGGACTGATGGGGAGAGATCTTGTGTAGCATGTAATCACAGTAATTCTTGAGCACAAGTCATAGAGTTGGCAGAAGAAATCCGTGTATTTCTCCCCAAGCATGTGCGAGCGCTCATCAAAGTTTGACAAAAGACAAGTTCAAAGATAAAGCGAGTATTCCCCATTTCCGATTTGAATGCCAGAAAAAACCCAAATAGTTTTTACGAATTCTGCAATACGCATTCGTTTGTCTCTTATGCTTTCGTCGGGTCGGGAGAGATCAATCTACACACAGACGGACCCAAGTAAACCACACCGGTAGGGGATTCCTCAAGCCGTCGTCAGGCGGAGGGAAACCGGAGGGATATGAGGGGCGTGATAAGATTTCCGAAACCACGACGGCATTTTGTCCCAAATTTCACCATTTTCGCCAACCACCCTTGAACTTGATTGTCCCGTCGATTCCACCCTCATGCCAGTGGCCCAGACGTTCCTAGAGTCGTATCGAATGCATGTGGGAAGAGGAAGGCGCTTAGGAGGTAGGGTTGGGGTTCATCTACAAAGTACGCAAAGTTAGTCATCTGGGGTCATCGAGAGAAAGAGGGAAGTCGTTATCAAAATCGTACCTTGCGCTTGCCTCCGGTGAGGGTGACGTTGACGAAACGGCGGGTGTATGTGAGTCTCTTCTTCGCGCGGCCCTTGGGGGTCTTCTTCTTCTCCTGGGGCTCAACCTTGGGGCTATTGCAGTGGTCAGCGATCACGGTTTCGACATTTCATCATCAAAAATAACACGGTCCGTCTCTCGGTCGGTCGTCGTTTCGATGGAAATCGAATTCTCCCGTCGTAGATTGTCGAATGAGTAGTGTTGTTGTCCCTTCTCTTTCCCAACCGACATTCCCCCTCATCGTCGTCCGTGGTGACCAAAGTTTTCGTCGGTTTGCCACCCTCGATTCCCAGATGCACGGGGGGTATTTTCTGTTCTCGCGGATAAGAAAAAAGACTTACGTCTGAGACTTGACCTTTCCGGCACGCGCCAACGATCCGTGAACCTTTCCCATTGTGGCGGTTTGAGTTGCTGCTGTGGTGTTTCGGTGAGTTGGTTGTCGATGGAATCGAGAAGCGGGCTTGTCGTCTTCTGCGCGGGCAATGGGCGTCGGATTGCGTGGGAGGGTTGCGGGCCTGGACAATTTTGGGGGTTCGGTTCGTAATTCTGTGCGTCACGTGTAGTGAGTGGAGAAGGAACAGGGCGGGCGAGGGGGCTTGCCTTCTTTCTTGTACTCAGCCAGTCACCTTCCTTCATTTGCCTCCGCCCCAATCCGGAAGAGGTGGTCCGGGCGGAAAATTCGGCCTTAGGGGTTATCAACACAACAATATGAGCCACGCTCAGCACTCGGTGGTCTGAGCTCTTGCAGTGGCGCTGGCGAGATGAATCATCGGCGAGCAACGCTAGCTGAACAACATTCGTCGTAGCCTTTAGGTAACACTGGTGGACACGAGTAGTTGGGAGACACGATTGACCACAATGACTCAGGATGCCAGTTGTGTTTCCGCTATGACTGATAGAAGGATCTATTGTGCTAATCAACCAATGTTTGATGATGTTCGCTTTTCCCTTACGCCAACTTTTCCGTTATCCATCTTCGCAGCCGTCCAACATTCGTACTCTACAGGGTATCTAGACATGTTCTCGTGTGTATACATCGGATCTTTCTCAGTTGCTCAAGCATTGTTGAGTCCCGAAGAACCCCACATCTGTTCTTCGCTCTTGGGGTCGGCGCAGTATCCATTGCAGGCCAAGCACTTATCCAACTTCTTGGACAGCATATCTTCCAACGATGCCGGGTGGATGATCAGATCCTTCGTCTTCAGGTTCTCGTCCAAGAATACGTAGGGGCCTCGGTAGTCGCTCTGGCGAATCTCAGGAAGGAAGGTAATGTTGTGAGGAGTGTTCTTCTTAGCGACCTCAGCCCACGCAGCCTTCACATCGGCTCCAATGTGAAAGTCCCAGGTGCTCTCCCACGATGCCGTGGTCGACAATATCTCGACGGAGTAGCGGAAGACGGCACCTCCAAATTGGTCGGTCTTGTAGATTTCCAGCACCTGCAATGCCGGCATGTGCTTCGCGGCACTGGCGATCGAACGCAGAATGCCATTAACGGTTTCGTGGTCGATGCCGTCAATCATCGTGTGGGAGGTAAGCGCAAGTCGGCGGAGGTTGTTCCAGACGGGCTTGCGTGCGAGGAGGCCTTGAAAGAAGGCGGTCGCGTCAGAGACATTCGAGACGGCCATCTCCTCGGCCTGCAAGCTGAGGAAGCCCAAATTGTGACCAAGGCTGGGGCATGAGGTCCGGGCAACGTCGCCTCCTTCCTCCGCACCGTCGGGGGGCACGGGGAGAGCGATGTCTCCACCGGTTGGGTCGGCGTCATTGTCGTCGACAGACTCAGCATCCTCCCATTCGGCTTCCGGGCCATCGTTGAAAGCATCGAAATGCTCAAAAATGCTGATTCGCTTAATGTGGGAAGGCCAGAAAGGGAAAGTACGGGCATAATCTGAGAATGTCAGTCAGTATTAGGTCTGTGGACGGTGAGACAAAAGGGGCATACCAGAGTCGACTTCGAGCTGCGCTTCCAAGTCGACTTGATGCCAAGGCTCGAATCGGACTTCCTCGAGCTTAGGCAGACTCGAGATGATGCTGAGCAATGCTCGAGATGAGATGTTGCGATGGTTACGTCGAAGAATCTGGCAGCTGTTGATGATTGAGACCTCGGGGAGACCATGTCGTCCGACCTGCTCGCAGCCGGCAGTGATGAAGCAGAAGTCCAGGTCGTGGTCGAAGAAGCGTGAGTTGCCGTCCTGATCCAAGCCCAGCTCACCAAACAGCTTGTTCTTGTCACTGGGTGAAGCGGCGCTGAGCTCCAACTCGACACTCTGGCCCGAAGGGGTCCATTTACTGAGGATGTCGAAAAGGTTCCAGATTCCCTGAGTGAATTTAATCTCATTTTCATTCTGCTCAGTGTCTGTCTCGGGAACCTTGGCCAGCTTGCTGTTATAGCGAGGCAGCTCAATGCGAAGTGAAATACGGCGCAGATAAGAGCGACGGATGGGGTCCTGGAGAATCTCGTCGAAGCGGGAGAGGTCCTTGGCGGAGTTGATCTCGAGATTGTTGAAGTTGATCTTTTCTATGAATCTCTGCCATTGTTGACAGACGACGGCATAGCTGCCCATGTCATGACGCTTGCTCTTTGACTTTGATGTTTTTGAGCGTCTCTCGGCGACGGCTCCGTAGGCGAGGTGCTCGAGAATGAGGCCCTTAAGCTCGACAGGCAAACCATTCCAAGTTGCCATGTTGGTCTCCTCTTCCATGGCAATCAGTTGTGAGGCCTAGTGTGAAGTCGGCGTCAGACAGGTACTGTAAGCACGTTGGTGTTGAAGGACCCTAGTTGATCGGTCTCACCTGTGGACGCCCAAGTCCCTCAATGCTAAGGAAGTTGAGAGTGAATTTTCAGCGGGGCAAGAATGGAGACTGGGCTCACCATAGACCCTTGTTCAAGTCGACACTGGATAATCGAGTAAGTGAGGGGCAAATGAAATGCCTCGTGTTGGGCGAAGGGCCCTGAGTATGTGCTAGATTTGTGTGCAAAAAGGCGCGCCTTCTTTTTTCTTCTTCTGCTAATACCTGTCAGTCGAAGGGCTTGAGTCTTTCATGTTTGGTGTTGTAGGTCAGGTACCTCAGTTTGTTGTCTTTGGTGGTCTTTGTGAGGTGACCTATGCCTTTCCCTGAAAAGACTTGACTTGAGGTGCGAACGGACAAGTTGCGCGCACCAATCAGCACTTGGCAATGAGAAGACCCTTCTAGAGCGACCGGTACTTCCTTCCTGGAAAATTCCTAGCACAAGTGGGCGCCTTCTGCCATCTAATCGTGTACCGTCAGTGCCTTCCTCACCCAAAACCCCTCTGGCTCTCCGCTCCTTCCCCCCACCTCAGAAAAGCCAGTACAGTGTGCATTTGGAGGCATAAATCATTCAAAAACTGATTTATGCACTGTATTCCCCTCCTCCTGATAAGCTGATACCTAGCCATGGAACACTGGGCCGAATGGAACCGGACACTGGCGGCTGTTCATCCCGTGCCTTCACCGTCTGCCCGGTCTTGGGATTGCAGATACCTAAGGTAAGGTAAGGTACACCAACAACATCTGCTCATCCAGACGCCGGAGATGATCATGCAACCCAGATACCTGCAGGCAGACGGACAAGACAGCTTTTCGCCAGCCCACAATTTCGGGACAAGACCTAGAAATTTCACCTTGCGTATCCGTACAGCCGCCAGCAGCCCTGCCCCATGCTCGCATGGCTCGGAGTGGATAGAGTCAGGCTTGGGTCGTTGTCGCGCTAAACGCCGTTTGGCTTATCAGATCTAACCCCGGGCCACTTTCCAAGCGTCTCATCCCAGACATCACATGCGCCCATCTCCTCTCTTGCGGAGTTGCCCAGCTAAACCCAACTTGAGGTAACCTAACCTTCTGACTGACCCCAGCCCACCACCGTTGCAGACCGACCTCCCCGTCCTCGCCCGTTACGAAACCCGACTCGTTCTTCTGACTGTTACCAACGTTGTTGGTAACTCGTGTTTGCCCAGGCGGATCCATTCCATCCTCTTTGTTCTTCAATCCATCCCCCAACGCCGAAGAATCCTCCCCGAAGAAGACATCGTCCCCGCCGTACTCGCGCTCAATAGTTCCCTCCCAAATATCTTGGCCCTACGTCCTAACCCTTCCGAGACCGCCTCACACCACGAGCAGCTCGTACGATCCGATCCATCCCACCCTTTCCGACCGACCGACCGACCGATCACACACACACACATACACGCACCTCAAGTGAGGACTTTGCTACAAAACCTCGCACACGCCCGTTCCCGACAGATCCTCCTCCTACTACACCCTCTCTCCCGCCTACCGTTAAACCAGTCCCATACCTCTCCTTCTCGGTCTTGTCCAACCTGAGAACAAGATGAAGACATCCGCCATCCTCGCCGGCCTAGCCGCCTCCGCCGCCACCGCTGTCCTCGAGCCAGGCATGCCGCAGCACCTCCTCTCCAACCCCGAGGGCGGTGCCGACGCAAACCGCATCCCGACCTCATATGAGTCCGCAGTCATGGGCCGCCGCATTCTCGCCGTGACCAAGCTTGCCGAGCTCGCGACCGTCTTCCCGGCAGGCGCCCACTCCGCCTCGGGCGGTGACCTCTCCGGCATGCCCATCGGTCTCATGGACTACGTCGCCGACTGCGAGGACGAGGGCAACCCCACCATCCTGGCCATTACCATCGCCACGTCCTTCAAGAACGTCCGCGCCGGCTCCAACATCTCCCTCTCCATGCACTGGGTCCCGCCCTTCCCGCCCGCGAAGCGCATCTCCCTCTTCTCCTCGCTCAAGAACAGAATCTTTGGCTCCTCCTCCGACGCCGACGCGGCGGCCACCGGCCTTCCCGACACGGTCCCCTACTCCGCCGCCAACCTCCCCCGCTTCTCTCTCCTCGGCTACCTCGAGAAGATCCCCGTCGACCCCGTCTCCTCCCTCAAGCTCGCCCACTGCTTCGTGAACAAGCACCCGGACTCCAAGTACTGGCTTCCCGGCAGCCCCGTCCACGAATCAGAGTGGGTTCGCTTCGTCGTCACATCCGTCTACTGGATCGGCGGCTTCGGTGACCGCGCCTACATTGGCTGGATCCCCCTCGAGGAATGGCAAAAGGTCACCAAGGAGGAGTACGAGTCCATCGAGCTCCCCGGTGAGAAGCGCGGCTGGAAGGAGTGGAGCGTCAACAGCTGGTTTGACGGCAAGGACCTTTGAATGTGTGTTGAGTAGGATGACGCCTGCATTGATCAGGTAGTTGATGTTTTGCGTACGGGAGGGATCCAATCCTTTTTTCTTTTTGGTATGATACCATTTACAAGGCCAGACCCCAAAGGCCTCAAAGGGGCTTGCTAGTTTGTCATGCATTTTTGGGTCGGTTACTTGATAAGTAGTTACATGCCAGTTTTGCCCAAATCGGCAACGTCATTTGGACGAGAATTTGGTTCTTGAAGTACTTGCGGTAGTTACGCGAGATACGCAGACTACTGAAGCTGAATCATCATGCATGCACACTATATGCGCGCACTTCAAAACTGCGAAGCTTGAGAATCAAGCCACATAATAGCAAACGGGCTGTGGAGGGGCGGATGCATCATTACAGCGTATTATATCAGGGTTTGGGGGTATCTAGCACTACAGCTCGCAGACGTAACAATGCAGGCACCCTAGGTAGTCCATCTCTTTCTCTTTTCCCCCTTCTCAGTCGTTCCCGCGAACAAAATCAAACGCTATGCATGCCTCTCGTGTGTGCACGTGTGCGTGTGTACCCCTGGTATCCCTTATCAAAAACATAGGCCCGACGCCAGAAATGATGACTTGATCTCCGTCAATCGTCCCCAATTATGTACACACAAGAAAAGGTTGAACGGTCTCAAGACAAAGTAGAAAGAAAGAAAAAAGCGTCTAGTCAACGCGGATGATGACCTTCCAAGCCAGAGCGCCGGCCTCTCTGATGGCGCATGCAAGGCAACCCCGCCGGCGTCTCGAGATGATGGCATTCCAGCCCTTCTCTGCGCAGAACGCTCTCACCAGGACCTCCATGTCACTCCCAAACTGGCGACGCCGGGACTCAAGGTGCATGTTGGTCGTCGCAAGGCTGGCACCGTTGGCGGTACGTTCGAGGATGGGAGACGTGGGGGTCTCTTGCGTCGGGGCCTGACGCTTGAAGCCGGTGATACAGTCAATGACCAGAACGCGAGGTGTGGTGTTCATGGTGGGAGTGAGAGATGGACGTCGGACAGATGACGTGTTGAGGAGTAAAGTATCCAGGGAGGCGTCTGGCTTCTCAAGAAGCTCTGAAAGGTGGATGACGGTATATGTGAAGAATTTGTGCAGGGGATGTCCTAGATGATGGTCAGTTTGTGTGGCTGTCTCGGGGGGAGTCGCTTCTTCTTACCCGTGATGGTGGCCGGCTTAGAGCTCACACCGCCGATGCCGCTGCCGTCCACGTCGATCTGCTGGATGGTGGGGCTTGAAGGGGACCTTAAGACCCTGACGTGGGAAGACGGGTGGCAAGGATGAGCCGTAACAAAATGGATGTCCTTCATCAGTGAAAACTGGTGCTCCTTTGCTTCGCCGCCGTTGGGGCCGACAGAAAAGGAGATGGAGGCGGGATATGTGTAGAGTTCGTGTGCTCGGGTCACGTCCGAGAAGGGGGTCATCACCGTCTCCTCAGTCGGAGTGGTGCGGGTTGAGTCCACGGGCGCAGAGAGATTGAGCGACGTCAAGGAAATGCTCAGGCTGGGAGGCGGCTCCGAATAGTTATTCTCATAAGGGATGATGAAATCCGCGGGGAGTACCGAGCTGGGATCCGCATCACCCAGAACACAAGACTCGCGCTCGACGTGAGTCTTACCCCACAACCGGGCTTGCTTGCCTGTCTTTTTCATGTCATCTGCCAACGATGTTTAGTCTAGGTCAATGGAGAGCTGATTAGAGGGTCACTTACCACAGACTTCGGCAACGTCAATATTGACCCAGCCGTCACCATGTCCTTGGGGAGTGATATCGCTCGAGATCCATCCCATACACTGAGCAGAGCCAGCACCAGCAGCAAGAACGCGGCCAATGATGCAAGCCGTGCTCCAGAAACTCTTTCCACGATACACGAAACCACCGCACAGATTTGCCATCGGGCCCAATTTGGACATTGCCTCCTTGTCGTTCTCCAAGAGAGTGGTCATGATCAAGTGGTACAGTCCTTCGCCTGGAAGCATGAGGCCGGACACGTAAGATTTGGATAACCATCCCGACGGGTGCAAAGCTGCCGAGATCTTGTGCTTCCCGGACGGGTGTCGAGTAACGCTCGCTTCTGTCCGACCGCCACCGAAATAGGATGATCTCTTTGTGTCAATGCTCATTGGTGTCTCCGCAGGCGTGTGAATCGGCGTTGCTTCTGATACCTTGTTGACTGTCTCAGAAATCTGCTCGGCGTATGTGTCTGATTCGATATCGGGCCAGCGAAGCTTTCTTGCAAAATTCGTCAAGCCATTGACTTGTCTCTCGCTGTACCGTCCCTGAATGGTGTACACGGAGACGTCGCCGTGAGAATGAGCATGGTTATTTGGGTGAAGGCTCATCTTCCCAGTCAAAGATGCCAGCCATCCACCAGAGTTGCGCTTCTGAGTGTTCGCCGGATCGACCTTTCGCTCAATGATCTCAATGTTCTCTAGCCAAGCGCGTGCCAAGTGCAATGACCACTTGACTGTTGAGTTTGCATCCTTTTCAAAGCGCTTAATCTCGGTGGGTCTAATGCTCTCGATACCGAGCTCTTCGCCCTCTGTGATGGCATCTAGCCTAATGAGCAGCTCGCACGCCAGAAGAATCTGAAGCAACAGCCAGTACCTCTCCTCTTTGCGCTCCTCGTTGCTGTCGGCGTCGTCGATCTCGACATCTGTTTCGAGCTCATCGCCCTCGAAGGAACCCCAGAGGATCTGACCCAGTCTGATTCTCCATTCCACGTGGGAGAAGTCGATCCAAACATTGGGTGCAGCAAGGACCTTGACGAGCGCCGAAATCTGGACAGAGAGACTGTAGGGGTCATGGTGGTCAATGACACGGGTTGGCGGATGCAGGATGCCCAAGAATAGCTCGTTATACAGGGTGTTGTGGATCTTTCTGTGGACCTTGTTCTCCTTGTACCTGGCGCCATTCTTAATGAGCTGATCCAAAATGGACGATTCCTCCAAACGGCGAAGTCCGTCTTTGGAAGCCAACATTCTCTGGCGCTGTTCGACGATTGCTTTGGCCTTGGATCCGATGCTGTCGAAGCCAAATTGCTCTTCCTGAAGCGCATCACCAACGGGCATTTCCAGAGCCGCCTGGTATCCCATTGTGCCCTTCTCCAAGCCTTGCATACTGAGCATATTAGGCCGTTCTCGGCATCGGGGGTAGAAATGGGCTCGCTTCCTTTCCTTGGCGCATCGTATAGCAGCAGGATTGGAGTTCATGTCCCTCGTGATATGAGGCCAGGCTGTGATGCAGCTCCAGGCGGCGTCCTCGATCTGGACATGGTCGGTCAGGTCGCGGATCTCGAGCGACTCGTCCCAGGGAAAGGCGACAGATGGGTGGGGAGCGCCGGTGTAATGGCCCTCGGAGCGAGCAAAGTACTGAGGAGCTCCAGAGAAGAGCTTCTCAACGTCGTCGTCGCTGAGGGTTGCCATGATTTTCGTCAGTTTCAGAACTGGTTTGGCGGGAGGGCCATTGGTTTTCTGGTCGGCGCTGTCGAAGGCGAAGGGAGGCGGGGAAGGCAGTGGCTTATTGGGGTTGAGAGGGGGCGGCGATCGAGAGGAACGGGACTCGGCACTGCTTTGCGGAGGGGAAACCTAGGGTTTGCTGGTGAGACACAACGGCTTTTACAACGGTTGAACAAAGAGACGCGGTCCAATTGGGGTAATTAGAAGAGCTGGTGTTAGGTACTGAGACTGGAAAGGGCAAGGTGGTTGGTTGGGTTGGTATGATGGTCTGCTTTCTCTGCGTGTAAACGGGAGACGACGTCTTTGTCTCTGACCGTTGGAAAGGCGTGGCTGATGATGGCAGCAATAGACTGCAAAAGAAACTGTAGACTTGGAGAAAGAAAGACTGTCGACGAAGAGAAAGACAGAAAGGGGTGTTATACAAGTAACATTGACTAAAGTAAAGAGGGGACAGGAATTGGAGTCTCGGAAGCTGATCACGCGGCAGAGAAGGGACGGGTTATGCAAGGGAGCAACGGAGGTATAGATCGTCAGAGTCTGAGCAACGGGGTAGGTACGGAGGCTTGGAAACTTGGGAACAAGGTATTAAGTAAGGATTAAGGAACACTGGAACAGCGGATGAACATCTCGGAGGACGTCACTGCAAGCAAGCAGAACTGATGAGCAATGAGATGATGGATGGGCAAGTAGAAATTGCAAGACAGGGCAGACCAGAAGTGGCCTGATGCAGCTCCCATTTGATGGATTGCATAGGACGATGGCGGGGGAGTGACACGGTGGAGAGGGGGATGAGGTCGTGGTGCAGTTGTGGTGCGTCGTGCTGCAGACTGTGGCGCCGTCTACCTCACCTCACCTTACGCAGTACCGTCACTGCTACCGTTTCCGAGCCTTACGTAAGGTACCTAGAACAAGGTATCCTCACCCAAGAACTCAAGATGCAGCCGCAGCCCGGTGAGGTGGGGACAGAGAGGGAGCTTGGAACCAGGAAGCTACGGAGTACGTAGTATACACAGTAGAGGACCGAGAAGCACAGGCAGGGGACTGCCACTGCTACTGCCACTTTTGTGCAGATGCTCCTCTTCCACTGTCTGTGTTTTCCATCTCCGTCTGCGGCGCACGGAATGTCCAGCCTTGGCCAAGACAAACCCACCGACACCGACGCGGGAACCGGACCTGGTCTGAGAGTGCGGGGGAAACAGCACGGAAGGAAGGGGGTTATGGTGGGTGGTAGTGAAGGAAAGGTGCGTGTGATTTGGATAAAGCATGTAAGCTATGCGCAAGCAAGTTTGTATCCAACCAACACTACTGCATTGCGTGCATCTTCCCGGTACGGCCTTGCTGCTATTCTGAGGAACTTCCTCATCTTTCAGCGTTCGGCACCGGTGACATCGGGGACGACGGACTAGGTAGACTCGAAGCACCTCATCTCAGGGACCTTGCCTGAAAAGACAAACTGGGGTACAGGACCACAAAAAAGGTGGAAAATAGAAACGACAAAGACGCTGGCGATCTGATGACACTGAAGCATCGATCGAAATGTGGGAAGCTAAAACTTTCTGAAGGGAGCGGACTGTTTGGTGTAGAAAGGAATGACAGACAACGACAGATACAGATACGAAGAAATGCAAACTTACGGGCAACTTTGTCGGTGACTCGGCACCAGGGCCCCGTCCAGACTTTGTTGACGAAGCCGGCGTCGATGCGCTGCTGCTGACACTCCGGCCTTTGCTGCGACTCAAAAGCCCTCCAAAAAGGTCCCGTTTGGAGAACTTGCGCTCCCGTTCCGGCTCGCCCGTTCCGATCCCCAAGCCGCCCGCCGGCGCCTCCCTTCCATTCTCCTGTGGCGGCGAGAGCGGTGGTCGGACTTCTTGTTGTTGTCGTTGCTGGCGTTTTGAAGGAGATGACGGCCGCTGGTCGTGTGCCTTGGATCCTCGTCTGAGGAGTGATAGCGACGGCATGTTTGCTGCTGCTGCTGCTGCTGCTGCTACTGCTACGGATAACAGTCGCGAGATGTGTTAGTCGGGGGTTGGGATGAAGTTTGTCGTCGTGTTCGTCTCATTCGTCTCGATTTCGTCCCTGTTCTTCTCCTAAGGCGAAGTAAATTCTCCAGTCTCTTTCTTGTCTTGATTTCCCCAGAATCTTTCCCACTCTCTTTCAACTTGTAGTTCTTCTGCTCTTTCGACAAGCTTTCAACCGCGTGATCCTGATCCTCCAAGGTGGCTGATCAACAAGTGGCGTCGTTGGAGGAGCTGGGGGTGATGGCGATGGTGGTGGAGGGAAAGACCCGACGTCTTATCGCCGACGGGAATGATGCAAGTCCAGGTTCCTGCAAGGTAACCTTTCATATGTCGCAGCGAAAACCCGAGTCGCGGTGTTGAGTCCAAGTTTTCTTGCAAGCAAGGTAAGTGGACGCGGGCCCAAGTGAACGATAGGTAGGTAAGTTTCGAAAGGTCGTAGGCAGGTAAGAAAATAAACAGGAAAAACAAAAACGAGACGTAGTAGAGGAGGAGGGGGAAGGGGGTCAAGTCTTGTAAGATGAGAATCAGAAGCAAAGAAGTGGGAGACGCACAGTCTTACAGCAAATGAGAGGCAAGGCGGCAGGATGTTAAAACAAGAAATGAATGCGAATCAATAACAGAGACAGACAGACACACACGGTCGATGGTCTGCCAAGGCAGGGGTGGTCTTGGACTTGGAGGGGAGTGACAACAAGAACAACACTTTCTGTATCCGTATCTCTCTCTCTCTCTCTCTCTATCTGTTATCATCCACTATTTCTCTGTCGCTTCTGCTTTCCTCACTCCCCTCTTTGCGCTGCTAGACACGCTCTCTACCTCCCACTCACTGAGTCCAGGTGTTGGGCTGGGCCTGGGGCCCTTTGGGCTTGACTCTTTCGACGAAGGGGGTCCCCTTCTGACTGGACCAGTGGACAGTGACGGGATAAGACATCCACGGGATAGGACACGACGAGGGGGCCGCAGAAGAAGCCATATCCACTTTGTTGGTGTACCCCTCGTCCTAGCCGCAGGCGACATGCAACAAGGCACCGGGGAGGGGGTCTGGCTGTGTGGTCTGCTACGGCAAGGAGAGCGAGAAAAACAGAGAGAGAAAAGCGTCCTTGTGCCTATTACTTTTCACGTATCTGAATAGAATATAGCTGCATACCCTGGGATAGAAAGCTCTGGGGGTGGAGGGAAGCGAGGAAGATGAGCCCTCCCCTCCCCCTCCCACCCCGGGCTAACAGAAGAAAAGGGTGGGCAGAACGAACGGCAGTCTCAGATCTTCAATGCTCTCATGTCGAGTGAGAATAAAAAAGGTAAAGAGACAGGGACGAGCAGAGAGGAAAAAGCACCGAAAGGGAGATCAGCAAGATTACAAGATTAGGGAAGAGACGAAAAAAGAATGCCCTATGGAAGCAGAGCGACCTTCAGCTTCCCGTTCGTTCGTCATTCTCCCACCCCATAATCCAGATGGACCAGGGGGGGGAGGGGTGTGAGTGCCAGAGTGGGCGTTCCGCGTCTTGCAGGCATGGCATGGACTTTATGTGTGTGCATGTGTGTGTTTTTGCACTCTCTCTGTCTCCCATGCCTCGTCGTGTAACTTGCTGCGTTGTGACTTCATCGGGGAGTGCTCAGCCCAGCATAAAAACGAATAGCCCAGTTCCATGTAAACCTCTAGGATACCTTAGGTGTGCTCCACCCAGACTCCCGCGTGGCGGCCGGCTTCGCCATTCTCGCGTTGCCGTAGCCTTGGAATTGCCGTGGTGTAATGATGATAAAGCAGCAGGGCAGAGAAAAAAAAAAGAGATCAACAAGATGACGACCAGCTCGAATGGCAATTCTGAAATGTCGCACGGCGCGCACAGAGGAGAGGAATGTCAGGTTTTGAAATTGGCGGCTTGTGCTTTTTTTCTCTTCATCTCATCCCGTATAACGCCAACCAAATTATACCCTCCCTCACCTCGTCATTGCAGTGGTGCTAATGTCAGATTGCATGATAGCGTGCGTTCTGCCCGCCGCTCATCTTTTTCGGTCTTGCATTGTCTCCGGCAGGTCCATCACCAACGAGAGATGTCAACTGAGGACTCGACAAGGGTACATGAGGCAAGAGAAAAAGATGAGCAGACACACACATACACTCACACATCAGACAGCCGCAGCGGGTAAGGGGAAAGGAGGCCCATGATCACGGCCGCAACAAAACACCATTTTAGGGGCCCCCTCTCTCGTCATCAACAAACAGGTGGAGTTTCTTCTAGATGGACTTGGTGATGAAGAAAGAATAAGAAATCATGAAGAATAGTCATTTCGTGGGAAGTAATGGAGATGAGGAAGAAGAGACGAAGGAAGTTACGAAACGCAAAGACACCTGCAACAGGCCAGATTCAGAAAGCTGGAAATCACACTACACTGCAGGTATCCGTAAAACCAGCTGGCCTAGCTCTAGCCTTCTTTCTCGCTCATCGAAAAGTGCATGTGAAATCCACCCAACTTGCCTTAAGCCGCTACGATGCTCGCCAGCTCGCGGCCCTCAGAGACAGGGGTCTCGTTCGTCTTTTTGGGGAAGATCTCTGATTAGGTGGTTTCGGGGATCCGCAAGCCCACACAACATCGCTCCTCTCTCCACCCTTTGGGCAGTGGGAAACCAGAGAGGAGAGAAGGGGAGGATTGACGATGGATCAAGGTGTCTGTCCCATGGATTCCGTGTTGCAGCTGCGGTGGGCTTCTTCTCTGGTTGACGTTGCGTTGTCTGCTTTTCTCGGAAGGCCTTGATTTCAGTACTCACCGGAATCGTGGGATTCTGACCCCGAAAGACCCTCATGCCGAATACGGTGGGACAATATTACCGGAAGAAAAGAAACAGAATGCACATACCACATTATTAAAGAGAAAGGCCAAAAAGCAAGAATACCACGAACTTCGTATATGCCGCTGAAAGGTCAAAAATCGATTACTCCATACGCCGTACAGGCAGTGCAGAATAATTCTGGGCAGGGCCAGGTTTGAATTAGCAAGGACCACGCTTGTGCGGCAAAGATGGTGTAATTTGACATTTCTTGCAGAACTCGAACGCCACCATCGTCAGTAAACCAAAACCCATTTGCCGGGCCCAGTCGTCGCACATCACTTTCCTTTGCAAGCCGAAGCACGCATTGTGCCACCAATGGGTTTTAGGGCCGAACGGCAGAGAAATAGCGTATTACGGAGGTACCATGTCGCATCTTGTTTGTGTGTGGCTTGGAGACCTTGAAGAACTTGAACCTCTTCCCGCCCGCCTCCCCTTGGCATTAAAGATCTTCCCTTCGGCTGTTCTTCTCGAACGTCTAGCAGAGGAACCAGCATTTCGAATGCCGCCGAGCCGACCATGAATTGGTGGGATTTAATTGGAACCGAGTCCCCTGGACGCAATGATGACCTTGAACTTCTGGCTTTGAAGCTCTAGCTTGAACTTTACAGCCCAATCTGCCTCCCCCTCGTGACCATTCTGAAATCTAGATAGAGAGGGTCTAGTATTGAAAACATCATGGTCCTATTTCGAGAATGATTTCCGAAACGAAGACAACGGGAAGCTTGCCTCACGCGGCAAAACGACAAGCTCTGCTCTACCCTTCCCGCCACGAGAACGGAGCATGGGACAACTTTCTTTGACAAGGGGGGCCTCCGTCGTAGTGGCTTGGGAGAAGGTCTCCGCCGGAGAGCATGAGCACTGGGCAGCTGGTGGACCTGGATCTGCCTGTACTGTGGACATGAGACGACATGTCACGGGTGAGTGTGGGCGCGACGTGGACAACGAGGAAGGAGTGCCGGGCTTCTCTCCATTGTTCTCGAACATCTTCGTCTCATACCACTGGAGCAAGGGGGACAGGAGGCAGGTGGAAGAAAACGAATAAGAAAGGAGGTTGTGATATTCCCAGCCGAAGGTCCGGTTCCTACAGCAAGCCGGAAAGGGGAAGGAAGGCATATCATCAGAAAGGTGTCTTGACAAAGTTGACAAGTTCGGGAAGCAGAGAGCTGCGTCCCGCGGACTAATTCTGAACCCTGACTATAACACCAGTCAAAATCCCCAACAGAGTTCAAATAAAAGCCCACCGCCGAGGTGACTTCAAAATGGAACGGGTTACACCAACGAGTTGCAACAGAGCTGGCCCTGGTGCGTTGCGTACGCCGTAGACATATTGACATTGACATGCTACTATAGAAGCGAGAACGTCCAGAAGGACGCAAGAAAAAGGTTAAAGGAAACTCTAAAGGAGCCCCAATCTCCCATTATGACAAGTTTACACGAGAAGGGCCAGAACAGAAGAGGACGAGGGCGTGAGCAAGCGAGCCGAGTAAGGCCCCCGGAGTCTCGGCAAGACCTCGCCACAAGTTACTGAAACGAGAGGAGGAAAGCCTTCCAAAACAATAGGCAAGGCTCATACATAAAAGTGCGCTAGCAAAGATGGAGAGAAAAAAAAGTTCGGAGCATGGCCGGACCAAATTCCTCGCCGGCATCCACTGCAATCGTCGCCAAAGTAGCAAATCCTCGGCCGCCAACTGGTCGACAAGCCCGAAGCGACACTGAAGCGAGAAAGCGACGTGGGTGGTGGTGGTAAACTGGTGGTTTCCTCAAGGGGAAGGGCCTTTAATTTAATTCCCAGGTGTTTGGGGGGGGGGGGGGCAAGGGTGTGTGGTTGCAACCTCTGCCCGTCAACGTTTTGAACTTCGACTTTCCCAAATCCGAACCGGCGCCTCATCCCGGCCTAGTCCCAGCCCACTTCCCGTTCGCTCGGTGTCGCGCCACGTTTCTAGGCGCACCCAAAGCCCCAACCAAGCTCTAGGGGGGGAGCTTACCAATATGTTTGCGAGCCACTGAGCTTCCCGGATGACATTGAGCTCATGTCCGTGGTGCTACACCTGGTTCGTGAGGCTAACTTTTTTAGCTTCAGAGCTGGAAGTGCCAGTGTCAGAATGCTAATGTTAAATTTTTTTTTTTTAAACCAGACAGGGGAGAAGCGGACGTCTCGGCTCGGACGGTTTGTCACGGAAGGCAGGGAAATGCCCAGCTTCCGGAGCTGACGGGTATGGCTTCCGCGGGGGGTCTGGGCCGGGCTGGGCTAGGCTGTCCGCCTTGTCCTATATCACGAAACGATGATGGCTTCGAACATCATTTTGAGTTTGCACTTGTCCATCATTTCTTGCATTCATCTCGAGCTATCCGGCAGGGCCGCGGCCCTGGCCGCGATCGCCCGCGGAACACCTGCACCGGCTTCATTCCGGACGTATATGCTTGAGGGTCGTGGCGGATGGTAATATCAGGGTATCATTCGTAATCGCGCCCGCCTCGACCGTCCATGCCGAGAGCAGCTATCTATCTCTCTTTCCCCCCTTGTTTGTTTTCCATGTGTGTGTATGTGCGTAGAGCTTGCAGCTTGGCAGCTTGAAGGAGGGTTTCCCAGTTTCCCTTTCCTGCGTATTTGTAAATACGATCGCCTTGGAGTCGACCAATGAGCATATCAATCCCGGCCCCTTTGCCCTCCCAGCTTGGCAAACGCAAATCCTTCTGGAGGACGTCCGCTCGGTGAAGCCAATGGCGATAAGTCCGTGAAACGCCGGTCGATGCCAACATCGTGAGTCAGACCTCGAGATTTTTCAAGCCGGCGGTGTGTCATGTACTACGATGAGGAGGTACTTCGGATCTGGTACAATGACCAGCTCCTGTTTCTTCGTTCGTAGCCTCAGTAGCTTCAGCTCATCCTGTTCCAGATGATTAGCCTCGGCTCTCCCTTCAGGGGTGAAGGTTCGTTCCGCAGTCGCTCTACGGACAGCCGTGTCACTCCTCTTACCTCGGTATCCAGGTCCAACACCAGGGTGCCCGACGCATTCACCCAGTTCCAGACCTTGGCGGCAAAGTCCTCCAAGCCTTGCGGTTGCTCCTCGCCGTTCTGCTGCTGCTGCGCGGCGGCGCCCTCGCCCGAGAAGGAGCCCCCTCCGGATGTCTGTAGCGTTGCTGCGTTGAAGGACGACAGCTGACCGCTCGTTCGTAGTATCGCGCCAGTGACTCGGTCGAGGATGACGGTGGCTTTGACGCCGGGTTTGTTTGAGAGGCGCTTGAGGGTCTCGTCCAGCGTGTCTGGTCCGTTGGTCTGCGAGGGGACACATTCTTTGTTTAGCTATGACGCCATGGCTGGAGAGGAGGAGGGGTCGAGGTCGCTCACGGGTGTTGCGTCGGCCATATTTGATGGACTGAGAGTTGAACAAACGAGAGACAGGTACGGGCGACGCTGCTTCTGAGAGCGTCTTAAATGGCACTGAAACTTTGCAAAAAAATCGAGTGTCGCTGGGTCGTGGAAACAAATGAATGCCCCCGAAAGCTGGGTCGGGTCTCGTCTGTAAGGCTGGGTTGGAAGCTAAAGTGCCCAATAATTGGAGCTAGGATTCACCGGGTAACAGCGTCTCGACGTTGTGGTGGGGCTGAGTTGCGAGGGGACCAGGAGCTCGACCAGATTCTGCCGCACCTGACCGCCGAAAAGTTCTGGCTCCAGACTTTGCAGGGGTCCTAACCTTCAATGAGCCAGCCATCTCATGTGAAAAGTGACCAAGACTTTATTGCTCAACGCTCGAGAAATATTACGAAAATTCAGTCTCACAGCCATAAGATTCACAAATAAACCAAGTCAACTTTAAAGGAGAATATCCGAATAATAAGACATCATGGGTTCTAGCACGAGAAAGAAGAAGGAAAAGGCCAAGGACTTTGCGGTATGAACATCTCAGTAACGCTGCCTCTCATGAGACCTCGCATCAATGCTAACATGCTCCCACAGAAACCAAAGTTCAAGGTCGGAAAGGCCAAGGCCAAGCCTACCAACTTCACAGACACAAGTTTCAAGGCGAAGTCCATTGCTATGGGCCACCAGAAGCTTTCAACCGAAGCCCCTGATAACGCCACTCAATTCAAGCACAACCTCTCATTAGCCTCTACGTCAAGAGCAGACAAGCAGCGCAAAGAATCTCTGGCCCATCTGACAAGCCAGGTGCTGGCAGACAACAACCCCGTCGGAACCGCAACGGTGCTAAGCAAACTCCTGCCCCTGATCTCAGACGCGTCAGGTCCTGTTCGCAGCCAACTGCTGAAGCTGTTCCGGGCCCTGCCCGAGGCAGAGGTCAAGCACCACGCCGAAAAGTGCATCATGTACACCCGCGCAGGAATGACTCACCTCTCTGCCGACATCAGCAACGACTCGCTATCCGTTCTCGAGTGGCTTCTGGATGTCGCGGAAGACGAGACCGTCAGCTGCCCCGGCGGTTGGGTCAAGACCCTCAACAGCTTCTGCGCGCTGATGGGGTGGACCGTGAAGACGAGCTCGGGGTGGTCGACCGCGCCCAAGACGGGCCTCCGCACAAAGGACGCACAGTCGCACGCGAGGCAGGTCGCCGTGCTGGCTAGGTTTCTGCAGGCCGGACTCAAGCCCGAGGTTGCGAGGCCGAGTAACCCCAATGCCTATGCGGACAATATGTATCGGGTGCCCCGGACGCCGAACCCTTTTGCGTACCTCAACCTTTTTGGGACCCGCCGGGACGAAGAAGCTGAGATGTATAACGACCGCGAGTCACGGCAACGGGTGTTCCACAGGAGGTTCATGGATTCGTTCCAGCGAGGCGTGGAACAGTCTAAGAAAGAGGGCGGTACCATCGGTCGTTCAGCCGTTGCGTTGGATCAGGCCCTGACCGAAGGTATGAGCGGGTACGAGGCGACGTCTGCTGTTGAGCCTCAAGATCTCCTTGATCTGTGGTGAAGGATATGGCCCCGCAAATCTACAATCATCTACAATCTTTGGCGGTCTCAGGAACCTGCCCGACAAGATTTCCTGCTCGTATCAACCGCTCTCCTGCAGTATTGGAGGTTCCAGTCACTGCCGCTGAATGTCAGTGCCCGAGCAGCTGCGTCCTGACTGTTGGGGCAAAGTAAAGCGCCGGAGGATTTCTTGCGAGATAGAATGACTCTAGGCTTTATCGCGATAGACGTTTGGTTTATTGGAATTGGCGGACGGGGCGAAGTGCTATTCAAGCCGCTCAGTAAGTCCCAAGAGCGTCGCCATCCGCTACCTCATCATGTAGCATCCATAGATGGATATATCAATGATACCCATCTCACCTCGGTGAGACTCCTGTTGTCCAAAGAATGTAGTTACTCCGAACCCACAGCCGGAAAGACATCTCTCAGGTGAATGACTGTCCTTTGGGGTCGTGTGGTGAGCCGATCAGATTGGAAGCTCCTGAATTGTCTTCGTCTAGCCTTACTCTTGACACCAAGCTGTCATCAAGCAGCTTCTCACATGCTCTGATTCGTTGGTCAGATTCTCCATGGGGAACTATTCAAATCGACTCAACTTCAGATACAAAGGTGAAATACGCAGAATACTATGTATCTTCAAGGCCTTTCACCTGCCTTTGTCTTTACGGGATCACTCGTATACTGTTCAACCTCTCCCCGGATTACTTCTCTCTCTTTCTATGTTTTGTCTTGCTGTAGGCAGCTAACTCCAAGGACCTTGTCGAGACAATAAGTCAGTGTCATGTCAAATGAGCGTTGTCAAAGAAGAGATCTTTTCCTTCGTCTGGCCTCTCCTCTTGTCCGAAGCTTCGATGAGATATCGTCCAGTGTTTCCAAGTTCCGATGAGCCTTCAAAAATGAGGCAGAAGGTCAAGTCCCGGATGGTGCTCTCCCGCCCAATTTGAAAGCCTCACGAGGCAGTCACACTTCGACCCTCATGCCCGCTTAGTCGTCCTACCTACCTGCCTCGTTCATTGTGTCATCCTTCCTCTCAGGGCGGTGCCTGCCCTCGGCCTTCAGCCCTTTCGCCCTCTACGGACCGACCTACCGCCTTCCAGCCTTCCGAAGGCTTCCCACCACGGATATTTGTATCTCATCTGCTGCTGCTCAACTTCTTCCTCTTCCCTCTTTTCCTCCACACCCATCACAGATCGTCGAGAAAGGATCACCAGCAGGAGATCAGTTTTTGACTTCATTCTTCGTCTGAGAGGTGAGTACTTTCCAAATTATTTGATCAGCGAATTCATTATTCCCATTTATTTTTCCATCAATCCCCGTCATCATTCATCGACGGATTCGCCGTTTCAACTTCAATTGTGGAAGATGTTGACGAGCGCCAAATTCTTGGCTTCAATCCCCCAAATTGTTTTCACTTTGCAATCAACTTTCACGTTGATTTTCCCAGCCCTTGATCCCGATCTGCTTGCTCCATCGGAGGCTGCAGTTTCTCGAGAACATCCCTTCTTCAAAGCTCCTGCCAGTTTCCTCCTCGGAAATTGACAGTCCTCCGTTCTTTCCTTCCTCATTGTAAACACATCAACCGTTTTCGCATTTCAGTGGCTTCCATTGTTTTCTCTCACACAAATACGGCTTCCTTCTTCTTTCTTTGCGCTGTACTAACTCATCGACAAACTATCCAGTACCAAGGTTCTCGCCCCGTGTAGTCTTCCTTGCAATTTTCGCAGTATCCTTCGATCAAGCAAATCAAGGTAAGTACCACGAGCCGCGTCCTCCCGGCCTCCCAAAAACCAAAAACTAATCAACATGAGCAGACTTCCTCCCGTCGAGATGTCTGCCTTCGACACTGCCGATATGCAGTCGGCTCTTCCTGCCGATGGCAAGAAGGCCCCTGCCGCTGCCGTCAACAGCGACGGTACGAAGTGGGCTGAGCCTCTGCCCTACAACTACGACGAGCTTGCCCAGCAGGGCCCCGAGGTTGCGACTGAGTGGGCTGGCAACGGTGCCGTTTACGAGTGGGATGAGGAGTATGGCGATGTTGGCCCGAAGTTCCCCGACCTCGAGCTGGCTCTCTTCGGTGATTCCAACTCCCGCATTGCCTCCAACTCCGGCCTCGACTTCTCCGTGTAGGTTCCCTTTTGACAGTGGTGTGAACAAAGCTGACGTCTTATAGCATCTCTTCTGTCGAGGTTACCCAGGAGGGTGAGATCCGTGTCGAGCCTGTCCACTCCTACAAGGACGCCGGCTTGCACCCTGTGATGCTGGAGAACATCGAGCTTTGCGGCTATGAGGCCCCGACCCCCATCCAGAAGTATACCCTTCCCGCCATTCACAAGGGTCTCGATGTTGTGGCTATCGCTCAGACCGGCAAGTTTCCTTCTGTTTGCATCTGGTTGACTATTTCTAACGTATTCAAAAAGGCTCCGGCAAGACCGCAGCTTACCTTATTCCCATCTTGAACAAGCTCATGGGCAAGGCCAAGAAGCTTGCTGCCCCTCGCCCTAACCCTGCCGAGATTGCTCTTGGACAGCAGTGGGTTCGTGCAGAGCCTCTGGTGGTCATCGTCTGTCCAACTCGCGAGTTGGCAATTCAGATCTTTAACGAGGCCCGCAAGTTCTGTTACAGAACTATGCTTCGCCCTTGTGTCGCCTATGGCGGTGGTCCCTTGAGAGACCAGATTCAGCAGCTTGGAAAGGGCTGTGATGTTCTCATCGCTTCCCCTGGTCGTCTTGTCGACTTTATCCAGCGGCCTGACACTCTCTCGCTCAAGCGCTTGAGATACATGGTCTTTGACGAGGCCGACGAGATGCTTCACGATGACTGGCGCGAGGAGATGGACGTCATCATGACTGGCGGTGGTAAGTACTCTTTCCCGGTTCTTGTAGCGAACTTCCACTGAACCTTTTTTCCAGAACAGCAGGAGGGAAATATCAAGTACATGCTGTTCTCGGCTACCTTCCCGAAGCCGCTCCGCGATCTCGCGAAGGAGAACCTGTCTTCCTCCAGCGTCCGCATCAACATCGGTCGCATTGGAAGCACTCACACCAACATTCTCCAGCGTGTCTTCAAGTTCGACGCCTTCGAGAAGAAGGAGGCTCTCAAGGACCAGATCAATTCCCTTCCTGCCTGCCGCACCATCATCTTCGTCAACCAGAAGCGTACTTGCGATGACTTGGACGATTTCTTGTTCAACCTTGGCTTCCCTTGCACCTCGATGCATGCTGATCGTACTCAGCTTGAGCGTGAAGCTTCTATGCGCGCTTTCCGTGCTGGAAAGTCTCCCATCCTTATTGCCACTGGCATCAGCGCTCGCGGCATTGACGTGAAGAATGTCAACCACGTCATCAACTTTGACCTGCCTAGCTTGGATCACGGTGGCATTGAGGAGTACACCCACAGAATCGGTAAGTAGAGCCCTCTCTTGCATGTTTTCATTTGCGCATCAAAAATAGCCTTGTGCCCTTTCTCTCGTGATTTTGAAGTGTCACTAACGCAACCAATCATCAGGCCGCACCGGTCGTATGGGTCAGCGTGGCATTGCGACTTCTTTCTACACTGACCGCGATGAGCCCATGGCTAGCGTTCTCGTTCGCACCCTCTTGGAGACTAAGCAGGAGATTCCTGACTTCCTCGAGCCTTTCAAGCCCACTGGCAAGGGCCTTGAGAACCTCAAGTTCGAGACTGAGAGCGACTTCGACCCTGAGGAGGCCGGCATTGCTCACCTTGGCGGCGAGGGCGGCGGCTGGTCCAACGAGGGCGGCGGTGGCGATGTTGGAGGCGATGGCTCCTGGGGCGCTACTGGAGGCGATTCTGGCTGGGGTGGTGGCGGCGATTCCGCCGGCAACGATACCAAGCAGGAGGAGCCCGAGGCCGCTCCCGCTTGGGGCGCTTCTTCTGGCGGTGGTGGTTCTTGGTAATTAGATAATACCTTCTGCATTTCCAGAGGCAAAGTTTGGGTTCTTTGCGGGGTATGTCGACCATAAGATGGGATAGATGAGAGAAGTTGGGGCGGTCTATTCGGAATGCTTTGATGGAGTTTGCCAGAATGGAATAGGATCGCAGCTAATGAATCATTTTATCTCTTGATACCCACACTCGCGCCTCCAGACTGTTAAACTTGCGCTTGGGGGTCCAACTTAGAAGTGTCTGATACTCCAGAATCAAGTCCTTGGCTGACAACATCCGTCACGAGAAAGCAAGCAAGTCAGCCAGCTTTGTTCATTTGGTTCCCTGATTCTGTGACACATGTATAGTACACTTTGAGACTCACAGAGTGATATAAATAGATAGGAATGAAGCTAGGCATGAATGGAAAGTCTCGATGCTTTTGATTAAGTTGATATCTATGACTCCAACCTCTTACTTTTCCTTCCCCCATTATTACTATGATACAAGATCTAGAAAGCCAGAGCAGTGAAGCTCCTCCATTTTCATTTCAATATTCGCAAGGGCTATTAAAGGTGAATTAGGCATTTTTCATTATGTCGAGAATGCCCTTGAATTTGCCTGCCAGACTCTGCGCATAACCCACGCCAACAACACCTCTAGTAAACCGCCAACTCCGCTCCTGTTCCGGAACGGGATATTTTACGGGCGGGGGGATGGCGGTGCGAACGCCCAACCAGCCAAAGCGGTCGACGCAGATGCTCTTGATATTGCAGAGGCCCCTGAGTCCTTCCTCGCCGGCGAACCGGCCGTACCCTGAGCCGCCGACGCCACCAAAGGGGAGCTGGACGGCGTAGGTTGCGCCAAAGTCGTTGACGGCTACCATGCCGGTGTTGAGACCATCGACGACGGCGCGGAGAACGGGGTCGTTGTCGCCGCCGAAGATGGAAGCGCCGAGACCGAATTCTGGCGCGTTGGCTACTGACAGAACTGAGTCTGCGTCGGGGCCAGGAGCGCGCATGATGGTCATGACGGGGCCGAAGCACTCTTCGTTGGCGATTTCCATTTCAGGGGTAACATCGACAAGGAGGGTCGGGACGAAGTAGTGGCCCTTGGGGTGCTCTGGGTGGATGTATCGTTTGCCACCTGCCAGCAAGCGGGCTCCTTGCTTGACTGCCTTCTCAACGAGGGATTCGAGACGGTCAAACGCGGCATCCGAGATCATGGCGCCCACGTCTGCAGTCGGTCCCAGACGAAGACCCTGGACCTTTGGCGCTAGAGTTGCCACGAGCTGGTCGTAAAGCTTCGGCGTAGCAATGATGCGCTCAATTCCAATGCAATTCTGCCCGGAAGCTTGGAACGTACCTCGCATGAGGATTTCAACGATGCGCTTCAAATCCCTGGCGGCGGAGTCAAGGACGATGGAGGGATCCTTGCCACCCAATTCCGCGATCAGAGGTGTGAGAGACTTGGCAGCTGAGGCAGCGACCTTTAGGCATACAGGGCGCGAGCCAATGAAAGTCAAGTGGGAGATCTTTGGGTGAGAGGTGATGTGGTTCGCCGTCTGCGGCCAACACACAACCGTCTGAATCAGGGCGGGATCGTGGCCGTGGGCGATGAGAGCCCCTCTCGCGATACTCGTAAAGTATTGTGAACTCCAGGCCGTCTGTTCAGAGACCTTGACTAGCACACCATTACCGGCGAAGATACTCGAGATGATGGGCCCGACAAGGTTGTGGAACGGGTAATTCCAGCTGACCAGGGCACCGACAACACCGAGTGGTTCGTACCGCACCTCGTTCCGTTTGTATGCCATGAGAAGATTCGTAGGTCGCGGGCTGGGGCGGAGGGCCTTCTCGCCATGATTCAGTGTCCATGTGAGCTTTTCGACGGTCACGAGGATCTCGCCAAGCTGGGCGTCCACCATCGTCTTGCCCGAGTCGAGACAGGCGGCGCGGCAGATGGCTTCCTGGTTATCGAGGACGTGTTGTAGCATCGTGCGAAGCACCTGACGGCGCTCGCGAAAGCTAGTATTCTTCCATTTCGCCTGCGCCGCATGGGCAGCGTCGACGGCGCGGTCAATGGAGGCCGGGGTGGAGGGATTGATGAAGCCGAGAAACTGCCCCGTGGCCGGGGCGTAGCATTGGACTGCGGTTGTGCCGGAGATCTGAATTGTACAGCCCTGTCAGCCATTGATTCAAGCTTGAGAAAGGGGTGGAGATCTAGGCAACGTAGTATACCATACCTTCACACTCGTCTCCTTGACAATGGAGTGCTCGTCGGGAATCTTCGGCGGCGGGACGGTGTATGGGACGGCCTTGTCCTCGTTCCAGCTCTGTGCCAGCCGCAAGAGAAAAATACTGATCGCAATAGCAGCCGCAGCTAGAACATACTGAGAAAACCCGGCCCTATTGCGAGCACGTCGAGTTAGTCTTTAGGTCTCGAGCACAACTGTGACGCCACTTTCGGCTGGCAGTAGCTTACGGAACGGCGTCGAGATACGCGTTGAACTTGTCGGCGACCTCATCCAAGAGTTGTGCGTCCATGATGAAGTTTACCCGGGCCGAATTGTGTATCTCCAGAGTGCTTGTGACGGAGAGATTCTGCAATGGCCGTCGTGGGCACTGGGATCGTGAAGATGCTTTGTTCAAACACCGAGCCCCCTCCAAGCGGATCCATCGATGAGGTTGCGGCGCATCGGATGTTCTTGGTCAAAAATCAGCAGAGCTCGGGGGAGCTTGCCCCGGTCTGGTTCCTTGCCAGGGCCCTCGTTGTGGTGGGACTTGCATCTGGCATTGGGCAGGGGCTAGCTGCAGGGGTGACAGGCACACGGCAGGTAGTGCGCAATACATTTGGTACCTGAACTTTCCCAGTGTCCCAGTCAAGTGCTCATATTCTACTGGACTCTTGGAAAGCAATGTTAGGCCCTGAGCAAGGCGTGTTGCCTGATAACGTTACTAGGTATTTGAAAAACATCATCACCGCAATCTTCTCGTCTTCATACTGTCAGTTGATGAAGGGGAGTCACAAGTTTAACACCCAAGGAACTCAAAGTTGAAACGGGTCTTGGTAACAATTCAAATACCACTTGGCTTCTGTCTGTGTGGCTCATCTTCAAGCTTTCCCCCTATTATGTTTTGGTTTTTTTTTGCATCTTTTCCCTTCTCATGCTCGCGCGTATGTACAAAAAGCGTCAACAGCGCGAGAGCTGTGCGCCATCACATTGTTTGGTCCGCCCAGACTCACAACGCCCTAGGGCCTGACGAAGAACATCCAGCACCCTCAGCATGGACTGGTCCCTGGCGCCCCCCTCTCAATTCTAGGATGCACACCAAAGCTTGCACAAAAATGCCTTCCGAGACTTCCATCCCTTTGTCCTCCTAAAACGCCGTCGCAGTAGGAATCCCTACACAATAAAAATACCAACAAAACACAATGGATTCGGAACCAAACAGAAAAAAGTAGTGACGAGCGTGTGTGTGAGTGTGTGTGGGTGACAAAGCATCGAGTCGCTGGCGTGCGAGAGGTGGAATGTCGTAGATCGCTCATGCAGATCGTGATGCATCGGGGGATATCAACAAAACAGCAAAAAGAAACAATACGGCCCTGTCGGGAGGGCCAGGCCGGATATAGTACAAGGAGAATTCGATTCGATTCGGTCGGGATCTGGAGCAGCCGCTACATGTTGGCGCTCTTTGTCAATGACAGACCCCGTAGTCGTCTAGGATGGAAACGATCGCTGTAAGACTGGCTAGACTCTATCCGTGAGAGGCGAGCGGCCGAGGTAAAGTCGTTACTGGCCTCGAAACTGGCCCGTGTGCGGTCCATCGAAGCTCGCATTCGATCGTAGGATGGTCGGGCTCGATCGTAGGAGGGACGGGGTCGTTCGAAGGAGGATCGCATCGGAGGGGTCATGTCGAGGGACTGCGTTTGCATCATGTCCATCGATTGCCGGTGGCCCGTGTAGTTGGTGCCATCGCTGCCGTTTTGGCTGCGCGGGTTGTGCGTCGTGTGTGTTGCAACTGAAGGTGGATAGATTGGCCTTCTGTCCTCATCCACACTGGCATAGTGTATATGCTTACCCTTGCGCGAGCTGACCGACGAGTTCGACGGGGTCTTACTCGCCGTCTGCTCCCCAATAACCGTCGCGTCGTCGCCCTGCGTGAGACGAGAGAATTTTCCTTGCCGCTCTTGCTCGCGGATGATGTCGACGTCGTATGGGAAGTAGACCTTTTGAATCGCCTTGATCGCGAACCGGGGAAAGAGACTGATGACCGGTACAATGAAGAAGACCGCCCAAAACGATGCTTGGGCGTATACCTGCGGGGCGGCTTGATAGAAGAACACTGACCCTTCGGTGGCTGTGTAGATGCCGGTAACGATGAAAATCATAAGGTCGCTGAGGACTACAATCAAGATCATGATCCAGTCCCACCGGTACGTGTTGATGAGGATATACGCGTTGATGACGAAGACAGCGGGGTGTGCAATGTAAGCGCCAAGTCGCGTTCGGTCTTCAATATTCAGACCGTTCTTCGTCACGAAGCTCGTGCTGCTCACTGCCAAGTACGGAATGTAAAAGACCATGACCGATTGGTAGACGCCGTCAAGCATGTAAAGCCTGGAACCTAGTTAGCATCGCATCAGGGCCACTGCTGTGACCATACGTACCAGAATTTGGTCTGTGTCCATTCCAACCGTTCGATACCACGGCGATAAAGCTGCGGTACAGCCAGAGAGACCTTGTCCGAAACATCCTGGTCAAGAACACCCATAACGACCACCGGAACCGAAGTGAAAAGGAGGTTGAACAATAAGATGTACGTGTACTCGTAGATATACGTAACGTCGAAGTCGCAGTAAATTTGGTACCAGAAGATACCAAACACCCACACAACGTTCTTGTAGAAGAAGTTGGCAACCGTCTCGGCGAGACGACGGTACGACCATCGACCGTGTACGAGCACTAGCCGCGATAGGAAGCGGAACTGAGCGATCGCGTAGTCTGAAGACATGACCGCTTGTCGACCCTCCTCACCTGCGATACCAACGCCGACATCTGCCTCTTGAATCATGGCAACATCGTTGGCGCCGTCTCCAATGGCGAGAGTCATGACATCCAAACCGTTCTTCACCATGTTGACTACGGCGGCCTTCTGAGCAGGACTGACTCGGCAGCAAAGAACCGACTTGCACTGCTTGCAGAGAAGCAGGAACTTCTGCTTCAAAGCATCGTGGAGAACCCACTTCAAAGAGAAACCGTCAATGACCAGGCCGTGGGTAGGGCCAGGTGGTTCGTGGTTCTTCCTGGCCTTGGCCAAGTCGTCGTCGTCGCCCTTCAGGCCGAAGTCCTGTAAGTACTTGTCGAGCTCCTGCTCCAAGATGTTGAGGAAATGTTCGTCCGGTGTCTCGCCAGTTTCGTCTTCGTCAACTTTCAGGTGGATAAGCTCCATGTCGTTGTTCAGAAGGTTGCAGGAGAAACCAATGTTGATAGCAGTCTCGACCTTGTCGCCAGTGAGAACCCAAAGCTTGATGCCAGCGTCGCCCAGCAGAGCGATGGTATCGGGAACACCATCTTGCAGTCTGTCTTCGATAGCGGTGCCTCCAAGTAGTGTCAATTCGCGCTCAAGGTGATCTGCGACCTCCTCCATCTTCTCTTCTCGATGTTCAAGAGCCGCTGCGGCCGCGTCGTACTCCTTGCGCCAGGTGGCGTATTGGTCCTCGGTGAGTTCTCGCTGTGCAATACAGAGCGTTCTCAAACCTTCGCGGGCAAACATTTCCAAGTGCTCTGCGGTAAGTTTGCGAAGCTCTTGCTGCTCGCCCCGCTTCAGACGCGAATAGATGATACTGTCCGCTCCCTTGCAGATGAGCAGAATACGGTTGTCAGGCATCCGTACAATTGCGCTCATACGTTTTCTGCTCGAGTTGAACTCGATTGTGTTCAATATCGGGTAGAACCGATCCTCACCCATCACATTCAGGTTGATGCCCTCCTGAGAGCTGCCAAGCACCGTGAAACCCATGTCGCGGGCTGTTGCGACAAGGGCCGCCTCGTCAGGTGATTGTGCCTTGAACAGCATCTTTGGCGGAGATCCGGGTATCTTCTCGGCGATGACGGTATGGCACAGGGCGAGGCAGAGCATGAAGTGCTCATTCGCCACTTGCTGTTCATCACCAGAGTCACCCGCCAAGTCAGAGACATAGTCAGGCGCAATGAAAGTCAGGTCGGAGTCATGCAAGTAAGGGTTGTCGTGAATATTCCTGAGACCGTCGAGCGCACGTATTTTGGCATCCGCAATTTCGGCTCTGGCTTCGGCTGCCTCCTTCTCCACGTCAACACCGAGGCGTTTCTGCATGCCAGCTTGAGCCTCCGTGTACGCTTCGCCATACGGCTGTCCATTGATAGTTGCTTTCTTGAACTCCATGACGTTTTGTGTCAGTGTACCGGTCTTGTCGGAGAAGATATACTCGATCTGGCCAAGGTCGTCGGAAATATTCCACGACTTTGGAATACAGGGTTGGTCCAGGGGTTCGTAGTACATCTCAACGTCGCTGTAGATGAAAATCGCCTGCAGAAGGCGGACAATTTCGAGAGTGATGTAGAGAGCAATGGGAATCAAGTTCTGGAACACAATAAGAGCGGCCCAGAATGTGATGAAGCCGGACATGGGTGCCGTTCCTCCGATAGACCCAAAGTCAAAGAAGTGTAAAGATGCGTCCGTTTTCGCCCATGCGACACCGTTGACGATGCCGGTCAAGACGCAGAGAATGAAGAGAATGCCGAAGTTGTAAATAACATTGAAGTTCATTTCCCTGGCGATTCTGGGACGCTTACTGGGCGTGATACCAGAGTTGATCATGATTTTGGTGTCATGTCCCGTGAAGGCGACGACTCCAAGGGCCCATTCCGTGTTCCTCAGGTTGCAGCCACGGAGAAGCAAGTTGTCGATCGTAATGGGCTCGGTCATCAAGTCGGGCTCGGATGAGTCTTCGAAGGTTTGATGCCAACGAATGGCACCGTTATACTTGTAGAGATTGGGCTGCGGCGGTTCACTCTCGATCCAGAACTGGGCTCGTTCGCAGTCCCTGGCATGCTTCAGTGATCTACCACACCTCAGTGCTTGTCGGACCTTCAAATTCGTCTCGCCGTCCAAGTTTTTGGTTTCGACGTAGCAGGCGCCATCTGGGTCAGATGTGGACAGTACGATAATGTCAGCTGGCAGCTCGTCGTCGTTATAAATCCGCACAAAGTCGCCAACTCTCAAGTCTTTCCAGTGATCCTTGTGAAATCGGGCGTCACCTTTGACCGGTGCACTGCGGTTCACCACGTCTCCCTTTCGTTGCATCAACTCTCTGACGCGCTTGTGGTCGTCTTCTTGCGGGACCTCGAGAGTCTGACGGGGAAGTGGAGAGGGAACCGGCGTCATCTGGATATCCTCTCGGGCGGATACAAACGAGTCTCGATTGGATCGGGGTTGGTTGAAGGAGTCTCGAGGGATGTGGGTCTCAACCGAGGGTCGCGGCGCATCGGCGTACGCTTCTGGGTTCTTGCGCACTGCCAATTCATTCCTAGCCTTCTTGGACCAAATGCTTTCGATTGTGTGCCAGACAAGGCCAAAGAAGCGACTGTTGGCCTTCTTAATGCGCCTCCACAGAGAAATGTTATCATCCTCGACGTTGACGTTGTTCCAGCCGCGCAGACGATGAACGGGGGCGTTGTTGAGCTCGATATCCAAAATGGTGCGACGGTAATCTTCGATGGCATCCTTGATTGCCGTGACAGTGACGATGAAAATCAAAGGTACCGAGTTGAGACCTGGATTCGTACCGCCGAAAATGGGGAAGAACTACAAAGGGTTGGAACTGGTTCAAACATGCATTGGGGAAGACCTCGAGTCCGACTTACCACCAGGATGACGAGGAAAAGGAAAAAGATGTTTGCGATATTCTGGAATTGAAACCACAAGTTCTTGGGAACGAAACTTATGGGCGTATACTTTGCTGTGCGGATCTTGTTTCTCGGAAAATGCTGACTTGGGTGACCTTCCTCGTCTAGAAGCTCCGCGGGCAAAGGGAGGTTGAAGAACATTTTCCTGCCACCATTTCCTTCCTCGGGATCAGTGGCCGTGTTGGCCTCGGTTTGTAAAGATTCAGTGCCGCCGGAGTTACGACTCTTCTCGCTGTTATGTTTCTTGTGGCCGGCGCGGTGCATGATGGAAAGCCTCTTCTTGTTGCTGCTCTTTATCGTCATCTTGCGGGTAGCCCATCTCGTCCTCAATGTTGTCAGCGCGGGACCCTCGGGATCGTTGGCGGGATCGTTAGCAGGATCAAGGGCCGCGTTGGGCCCTTCTTCGTTCGTGGGCGCCATCGTGGTCTCTTGGTATACGGGCGAGCAGCCCGATCAACCCGAGTGGTCCTCCAGTATGGCCACGTCCGGCCGCAACGTTGGTCCCAGACGGGGAAGGGAGACGATGTGTTGCGTGGTATTCCAGGACGGGGTAATCGATTGCGGAGGTCGAAGTAAAGCAGACTGTTATTGTTGAATGAATTGTGAGAGGGAAAACGAGCGACCGTGAGTGTTCAGCGTAACGTCGTCGTCGTTGTCGTCGATGTCCGTCCGAGGTTGTGTTGTGGTGGTGTTGGCTGGAACTTGGGCGAGATGTGTGGTTCGTGCGAGGGAGTAGCAGAATTGAAAGGGAGTGGTCGGAAGGGGGCAAGAATTATTTTGGCTGAAGGGGCCGGGAGGCGCTGTCGCGGTGTTTGATGACAGCGTTGTCCATAAACCCGCTGTGAAGGGGGGAGGGGAGTGCAGAGTGCAGAGTGCAGAGTACAGCTGGGTACCGGGGCAGACGGGGGTGGGTGGGTAGGTAGGTAGGCGAAGGTAAGGTACCTCGAGTCAACCCCTTCAGTGTCTGGGAGCAGCGGTGCGCGCAGTCAGTTTGTGCAGAATGCAGGCGGCATAGCAGTAGATGAATTGGACAGTGCTTCGGCCATTTAGACGGCCAGGACGGGTTTGTGAGGCACGGGGGGGAGGACTCGGAGAAGACTGAGAGGGGGGAGAGGAGAGACAAGACATGGAAGTTATCCACGCTTGGATAAAGTACCTCACCTCACCTCATGGATCTCACTCCCGCTCTCACTCTGTGCAATGGCGCAGGGGTAGGCAAATGTACGTATCGGAGGTACTTGGAGGGAGCATGGCGGCGGAAGTATCTCGCCCTACCGTTAGAGTGGGGGACTGTAGCAGAAACAGCCTAACTGGGTACGGACCTTGACCAGACCAGAACAGGTACTGTCTGTAATTGCCCTTGTATCGTGCTTTTTCTTCTGATTCCCGTCCCCCTAACTAAAAGGCTTGATGGCTCAGATATGTGCAAAGGGTCGAGTTCCACGTTTGTAACAAATTTCTCAGGGCACGCCGCACCACTGGAGATAAGTCGGAGGGAGAAAGGCACAGAGAGGGATGCACGATTAAGGTAGAAGCGGAAAGGAAGGGAGACAGACGGAGTTGGACGCTCGAGAACAGTGGGAAAGGGCGGAAAGGAAGGAGAGCAAGACGGAGGAGAGAGAAAAGAACTGGAGAGAGGAGCAATCCATCTATCCAACCAAGCAAGCAGCAACCAAGCAACCGAAAGCGCGAGCCCGTGGTGCGGGTGCCGTGTCGGCCGGGCCAGTTCCCAACTCCCATTTCCCCCCACCTCACTCACACCTCTTTTTCTTTCCCTTCCCGCAGATGGAGTGTTGTAGATGCACCTCAGAATGGCGGCACCACCACCACAACCAACAAGCGACAAGCAAGAATGCACCACCATGATCACGACTCCTCCGTAAAACCCAGACAGCCCCGTCGGGTCCCTCAAGTCCCTCTCTGCCCGTCAAGTGGTCACTCGCGTCACCGATGCACACCACCCTCCCGCAGAGTTGTGGCGCCGCAGGTACATGGCAGAGTACCAAGGGATGGGCGCGTCAAGTGGCCGCCCGCCCGGATGGCCCGGGGACTAGCAAGACTCCACGTCCGTCTCTGCTCCAGTGCTCCTGCAGACGACTGGGCTAACGTTGGTAGCAGAAACTGCTCAAGGGAAGCGCAAGGCGACAATTCCCATCTTTTCTTGCTTAAGCAAGCACGGCGAAGAGGACGATTCCCGCTTAGTCTTGTCTTGTACGACAGATCAAAGCCGCGCTTCTGTCTCTGTAATCATGACCATGTACTTTGTACAGTCGATGAGCAATCATGAACCACCTACGGATACCCTACCTACTGGCTACAGATACAAGTCGCAACCTTGACGCTAGTCGGCTGCTCGGCGGACGATGGAGGTTGATGGATGCGTGCAATTGGTAATCACCCGCCAGCCTGGCCAATGGCCCAGTCCCGTTCTGTCTCCCTCACTCTCGCTACCACGGCGACAGGAGATTCGAGAAGAGTTGAAGCATGGAACCCGCCATGGACATTGACACTCTGTCCATGTTTTCTCCTTTGCACTAGCATCGGCTCTAGAGATTTCCATTTCCCATGCAACCTACCCTGCAATGTGCCCACTGAGTGCCAGGCCTCGCCCTCTTTTTCCCACCCCGTTTTTGATATAATACCCGACCGCTATCAGGTATCCGTACAAAGTATCCGTACGTATACCTGGCCATGTGGACAACTTGACAACCGCCGCAGTACACCGTACCTTCATTCGCAACTTCGTCGTTAGACTCCTAGTGATGTGCCTGCAACTGCGAGGCGTGCATGAGAAAGAGAAAAAGGAAAAGCAAGCAGTCGTCCGGGACCTCTTCGCCCCATGCTTCCATAGTCGTCGTCCAAACACAGCCAGCCAGTGAGGAGATGAGAACTGTAGTCAACATACCTATCTGACCTCACCAATCTCGACACATTACCCCCCATTCACGTCTACCTAGGTAGGTACGCATAGCTTAATCCATTGGCCATTTGATGATGGTTGTGGTTCATGAGCAACAAGCACGAACACAACAAGACCAGGCCAAACGGGCACAGAACGGGCCGTGGCCATAGGGCCTTGGGCTTGTAATGCAACGCCCTACTGTCAAACCAGTGAGCCCAGGTCTGGTAATTCCCGTCTGGTAATTCTAGTTCCTTCGTCACGATACCTAAGCCCTGGGCGCGGACCAGAAGTACCCGTCCGTGTCAATTTGCCGGAGAGGAACATTCTTGATGTTGATCATGTCAGCAGCTTCCAGCTAGGTACCTAAGGTAGCGGATTCCTATCTCACTACGGAGTACGTACCTCGCCATTCCTGCCTCCCGCCAGCCACAGCTCCTTCCTGTCTAATCACGCCGAAGGAAGATGCTTACCTGATCGGCAATTTCTGGTAAAGAACGACAACGGATGCCACGGTCATCCTTGTGCTCGCCCTTCCCAGCGAACGGTTGTCTCTTTTTTTTTTTCTGTCTGCAATGCTGCATCAACAACCTAATGAAGCAAAATACACTCACCTTCAAGGTTTGCGACTACATCCAGTCGTCCAATCGATCAAGATCCGACCCAACCCAATTCACTTCATCTTCAAGCACCCCAGAGTCTGCTTGCCATTCTTCCCAGGCGTCAACTAACACGGAACACTCAGCACCCATGATCCGCCGTCTATTCTGCTTCCGGATGCGTCACGTCCGTCTGCGCACTGCGTATTAGCGCTCACGTGTACCGACTACCGGCTTCCCGTGTCTGCATAGCACAACTTTCGTTTCTGCCCCGCCAGGCTTCTTCTCCCTTTCCGTCTACCGCTTTCGCCGAAATTTTATGGAAGAACATGGTGGGCAACTGGGAAGAGACAAGCACCAAAGGAAGAAAAGGCATGGATGTCTCGTTGCACAGCCCAGCCACTGCTACTGCTCGCTGACATCGATCCGGCCGTCGACTGTGTGCTGGCAACGCTACACACTGACCACAGGCAGATCTCAAGAGCAACCACGGCGGCTACTGGTTCACTCGGATGAGCTCCAGTCAGCATTCCTTCCTCGCAACCAGGCAAATCCCAACCTCGAGGCGGTCACCTACAGACACAGGACGATTCCTCTGGGCCACTTCCCAGCCAGTGGCCCGGGATCAACCAAAACCAATTTGCTGCGTCACAGTATTGCCCTGTTACCTCCAATTGCTCTGAGGCTGAGCAGTTGGCGCGTTTATTACGGGAAGCAATCGTCGTCACCCTGGCCCATCCACTGCCCGTTCTCCTGCGTATTAACAGGGACTTGAAAGATGGACCCGTTCCAGGCGCAGGTATCGCTTCTCGCCAGAAATTAGATATGCCGGTTCTGACAATGACCCATACTTGGCTGTCAACTGCCCCCCGAAGGAGAAATTGGCCAAGAATGTGCCAGCCAGGGGGGAGCACGCAGATGGCCCCCAGAGGGGCAGTTCAAGTCTTGTCTTGATGACTGGCGGAGCATCAGAACTGACGCCTCATTTACGAGCCACCGATGCCATCCCGGGCTCACTGGCTCCGGGTCGCCGTGTGCTCCATATCCCATCTCATTTACACCTCAAATAGCAAGCGACGACACTGCATCGGCCAGGCCCCCCGTGATGGAAGTGGGCGGTCGACGGGTCTCAGGGTTGCATCGTACCCACGGCGCCCGGACGGATCGCGAATCTTTGCGCCTGTGGCACTAGGGCCTGTTAGGCATGCGGGATTGAGATGCGCGCTCGAGCAAGCCTGCTAGTGCTCCTCACCTGAGCCAAGCTTTTTCAGTACCTATGTCGTGTCAAGTTACAGAAAACAACTCGCCAGCCAAGCTCAATTCCTTCGCGCGGGATTCGTAGCAGTCCACCACTACAACGGCGCAAGACAGCGGTACATCAATGGCATGGAAGAAGCAGAAAGTCACATACAAACACACATAGAGATCCAACCGTTCGGGGGCAAACATGAGGCTGAACACCCATTGAGAAGAGACTCTCGAGGAGGCGATCCCGTCCCGATCGCACCGCTCGACCAAACCGTCCTAGCTACACGGGAACGGCATCTTGAAACAAATCTACAGCCGCTGTGAAGGCATGCAATCAGTCACTCAGCACCCCTTTGGTACCTTTGGCAGGGGCAACCTTCTTTGCGCCAGACCTTGGCAGCCTCTTCTGGGATCGCCTTTGCTCACAGATCTGTCCGTGTTCTTCTATTGCGATACAGGGAAGATAATGCTAGAATGAACTACTCAGCGCTCACCAAGGAACATCGACGTTGTCAACGCTGATTCCAAGCCAACAGAGTCGTTAAAACCGGGCCGGCGAGCAGTAGGTAGCCGTCACATCAGTCAGCTAGCCTCACCTTCTAGGCTCCTCCTCGTCAGCACCATTGATCGGTCCAGCCATTTGCATCAAGCAGTCAAATCGCTGTCTATCTCCAAGTGAGACTCCACTTGAAGGGGTTCGTTCCAAGGGGACATACTGCCACATTCGCTAGCAATGAGCGTACTAATACCGCACACATCTCAATTGGGATATAGACAGGAAGTGGAGGGACGTATGCAGAGTCGGGCCTTCGGGGCTTGCGATATGTCCATTCGGAGGTAGGACGGGGGGCGCGGGACTTGCAGGACGCACTAAATAGCCACGCATTCACGGCGCGGACGGAGCCCATTTTGACGCCGAGGACGACGAGGGTGGGACGAGTGAGACTCTCGCGCGCCGTTCTCACAAGCGGACGCCGCCCTTGAATGGCACAAGTAGAAAGTATTACAATGTACCTACCCCAAGAAAACGCGCCAAGCACCACACCATGGGCAGCTCGACAGGTGGACTTTTGCTTGGGCATCAAAGGGCGGAACGGTTGTTAGCAGCAGTGGCTGCTAAGCATCTTCTCTTCCAAGCCGCGTTTGTCGCACAGATTCTGCCTCGAGAATTCTGTGCGACTTAAAATCAGATGCGGAACCCGCTCAAGCCAACACCCAGATTTCGTACCTACGTCGATTGACACTAGGTTGTTCTCATCCAATCCAGGACCTCTCTGGGATTCAGTCTTTTCCCGCAAGGAAACGGACGGAGGACAATAGATGGGAGGCGGGAGACAGAATGTGGCTTCGCGCTGGAATCCCCACGCCCCCTTCGATGCAAGCCCTTCCCAAACGTGCAAGCGGAGGCCAGACGGCTTACACGGGACGCAGGCTGATTTAACCTTCTAGGATGATCGCTTTGATCGCGGCCCAAGGTCCTGGAACAGGTTCAACGATGCACCTTTGACCCGGACCACTGTCTTTACAGATGGGTTCCCTGAGCAATTTTTGGTCTGATGACAAACTCGGCAAGTTTTCGAGTGTGCTCCAAGCGTCTGGGCAGCGTGGCCAAGGACTGTCTGCAGGGCCATGACCTTTCCTGGCTATCGTAGATGTGCGAGAAAAAGAGGGGGAATGAGGGACGGGACATGGCAAACGGCTACCTGTTCACGTCGCCCAGGAACTCCTGAACTAAGCAGTCATGTACCGCAACGATAACCCAGGACCACAATGGCCCCTATTCCGGAGTCCTTTTTGGCCCCTGAAACCGCGAAAAAAGATCTCGAGGGATGGATGCGGTCTCCAACGGTTCGCGCTGGGGATCCTCGGGGTCGTCCTCTTGGCCGCTCTTCATTGACAGCC